TGGCAGTATGCTGAGGCAGGAGGTGGAGGAGGTGGTCTCGGTGATCAAGCAGGACCACGGTCCCCCAACGGTATGCTGAGGCAGGAGGCGGAGGAGGTGGTCTCGGTGATGGAACGGTATGCTGAGGCAGGAGGGAGGTGGTCTCGGTGATGGAAGCTGAGGTGGTCTCGGTGATGGAACAGTATGCTGAGGCAGGAGGCAGAGGAGGTGGTCTCGGTGATGGAACAGTACGCTGAGGCAGGAGGTGGAGGAGGTGGTCTCGGTGATGGAAACTGAGGCAGGGTATGCTGATGGCAGGAGGCAGGAGGAGGAGGGTGGTCTCGGTGATGGAACAGTATGCTGAGGCAGGAGGCAGAGGAGGTGGTCTCTCGGTGATGGATGGAACAGTATGCTGAGGCAGGAGGTGGAGGAGGTGGTCTCGGTGATGGAAGAGTATGCTGAGGCAGGAGGTGGAGGAGGTGGTCTCGGTGATGGAACAGTATGCTGAGGCAGGAGGTGGAGGAGGTGGTCTCGGTGATGGAACGGTATGCTGAGGCAGGAGACAGAGGAGGTGGTCTCGGTGATGGAACAGTATGCTGAGGCAGGAGGCAGAGGAGGTGGTCTCGGTGATGGAACAGTATGCTGAGGCAGGAGGTGGAGGAGGTGGTCTCGGTGATGGAAGAGTATGCTGAGGCAGGAGGTGGAGGAGGGCGGTCTCGGTGATGGAACAGTATGCTGAGGCAGGAGGTGGAGGAGGCGGGTCTCGGTGATGGAACAGTATGCTGAGGCAGGAGGCGGAGGAGGCGGTCTCGGTGATGGAACAGTACGCTGAGGCAGGAGGCGGAGGAGGTGGTCTCGGTGATGGAACAGTATGCTGAGGCAGGAGGCGGAGGAGGTGGTCTCGGTGATGGAACAGTACGCTGAGGCAGGAGGCGGAGGAGGTGGTCTCGGTGATGGAACAGTATGCTGAGCATCTGGCTCAAAGATCAATCAGGATAAGAGTGAGGTTTTCTGGATGGGAGAGGAAGGCGAAGGCTTTACCCTTCCAGACGCCTTCCCAGAGCCCCAGCAGGAAATTAAAGTTTTAGGCATCAGATTTGGTCCCGGTGATTACGGCCTTGCAAATTGGGTAAGCAGGCTACAAGATGCCGATGCCAAGGTGGCCAGCTGGAAGGATTGGAAACTCTCTTACAGGGAAAGGATTGACCTGATTAAAACTTCCCTGATCCCGGTATTTCTGTATGTCAGCTTTGTCTGTGTTTTGCCAGTGTCTCTCTATGCGAGGATCTACAGTTGTTTCTTCCAGCTGTTATATGGGGGCACAAACTGAACCTCATTAAGAGGTCTGTAACCTACCTTCCCAGGCGGATGGGTGGCCTAGGTATGGTGAACCCGGTGGTTTTTCTTTTCTCTGATGTTTTTGAAACATAATTTTGGTAGCATGCTGGCAGAGGAACCGCCTGGGTGGGTTTGGTATTTTTCAGTCCTGGTTTAGGCCTTTTCTATGGAGCTGGGAGAATGGTGGGCCAGTGAAAAGCCTGAGGGTCCAACATGGTAAGCTCCCGGCTTATGTTGCCCCGTGTCTGAAAATGCTTCGGCAATGGCGAGTGACGGCGGAGGAAATTAAATCTCTTCCTAGGAAGGCCCTGGAGAGGAGAGGGTTGTTGAATCTGCCTTTAGCGAGCCATTGGCCTTGAGGGATTGCCCAGGCCCGGTTATGAGGGAGGGTCTGCGTTTGATGAACCTGGAGAGAATCCCTTTAAAGTTTCGGGATTTGGCCTGGCTCTCGTTCCATGGCAGACTCTATGTGAAGGGCAACCTGAAGCATTGCTCTGCGGAGAACCGTGGTTGTCCAAGAGTGGAGTGTGGTGGAGTGGAGGAGACGATGGACCATTTCTTGCTTCAGTGCCCCTTCAATATAGAAATGTCTACAAGCGGGTGGGTGGGGCTCTGGGGATCCCTTTCCTTTCCCGCTTGAGTTACGCGGAGTGGTCTTACGGAGCCTTTCAGACTCACCGGGATTTTGATTTTGAGACACTTTTTCTAGTTAGCTTAGTAGTCCGTTACCACACGTGGAATGCACGGTGTCAGGTTTCTATTCGCAAAAAAGTCCTTCCTGTCGAGGTGGTGGTGAACAACATTCTGGGTGAGGTTGGGAAGATTCGGGGTCTTGAGAAGGACAGGTGGCGGCCGGGAGCCTGGACAAAGGCGTGGAGGAATGTCAGGTCCCCGTAGCTGCTGTCTGTCAGTCTTTGGGGGCGTGGCTTCTCTTTCTGTCCTTTCACGTCCCCTAGATTTTGTAACATCAGATTTTTGAAGAAAGCTGCATGCATGGGATCGATGTATGGGATGAATGTGTGGGATGAATGTGTGGGATCAATGTATGGGGTGAATGTATGGGATCAATGTGTGGGATCAATGTATGGGGTGAATGTATGGGATGAATGTATGGGATCAATGTGTGGGATCGATGTATGGGATGAATGTATGGGATCAATGTGTGGGATGAATGTATGGGGTGAATGTATGGGATGAATGTATGGGATGAATGTGTGGGATCAATGTGTGGGATCAATGTATGGGATCAATGTGTGGGATCAATGTATGGGATCGATGTATGGGATGAATGTGTGGGATGAATGTGTGGGATGAATGAATGTATGGGATCAATGCATGGGATCGATGTATGGGATCAATGCATGGGATCGATGTATGGGATCAATGTATGGGATCAATGTGTGGGGTCAATGTGTGGGATCAATGTGTGGGGTCAATGTATGGGATGAATGTATGGGAGCAATGTATGGGATGAATGTATGGGATGAATGTATGGGGTGAATGTGTGGGATGAATGTATGGGAGCAATGTATGGGAGCAATGTGTGGGATGAATGTATGGGATCAATGTGTGGGATGAATGTATGGGATCAATGTGTGGGATGAATGTATGGGATGAATGTATGGGATGAATGTATGGGAGCAATGTGTGGGGTCAATGTATGGGATCGATGTATGGGGATCAATGTATGGGATCAATGTATGGGATCAATGTGTGGGGTCAATGTATGGGATCGATGTATGGGATCAATGTATGGGATCAATGTGTGGGGTCAATGTATGGGGTGAATGTGTGGGATGAATGTATGGGATGAATGTATGGGATGAATGTGTGGGATCAATGTATGGGATCAATGTGTGGGATCAATGTGTGGGGTGAATGTTTAATCGTTTCTTAGCCTGAGGGGGGGGGTTTAGGTGACGGTCAGGATTTGTTATTTTGCTGAAGTAAGCTGGTTTTGTTTAATTATATATATTTTTATTCTGTATATATGTAAATATGATTTTTATGATGCTTTTTGTTTGCAAGATTTTAATAAACAAAAAATTTACACTCTAATGTCCCCTCCCCCACAGTCACATCAGTCTATGTACCAGAGGAGCTTACGCTCTAATGTCCCCTCCCCCATCACTGACTCCTGTTCTCTATTTTACAGACTCCGGAGGAGATCGAGAGACTGACGGTCGATGAAGAGCTGAACGACATTGAGAGGGCGGTCTATCTTCTCAGGTAAGGCGGTTTCCTGTGATTGACAAGGCGTGGTGCAGCAGACATAGGCTGTGGTGTTGTCAGTGCTGGGGGAACTACAAGTCTCAGCAGACATAGGCCGTGGTGTTGTCAGTGCTGGGGGAACTACAAGTCTCAGCAGACATAGGCCTTGGTGCAGTGCTGGGGGAACTACAAGTCTCAGCAGACATAGGCTGTGGTGTTGTCAGTGCTGGGGGAACTACAAGTCTCAGCAGACATAGGCTGTGGTGCAGTGCTGGGGGAACTACAAGTCTCAGCAGACATAGGCTGTGGTGTTGTCAGTGCTGGGGGAACTACAAGTCTCAGCAGGCATAGGCTGTGGTGTTGTCAGTGCTGGGGGAACTACAAGTCTCAGCAGACATAGGCTGTGGTGTTGTCAGTGCTGGGGGAACTACAAGTCTCAGCAGACATAGGCTGTGGTGCAGTGCTGGGGGAACTACAAGTCTCAGCAGGCATAGGCCGTGGTGTTTTCAGTGCTGGGGGAACTACAAGTCTCAGCAGACATAGGCCGTGGTGTTTTCAGTGCTGGGGAACTACAAGTCTCAGCATACACCACTAGCAGTTTTCAGCACGGAGGATTTTGATCGCTCTGTTTTCAGTTGTTCCTCTTGGGGCTCGTTCACACCGGTGGCCAGGGGCAGACTTACCATTTGGGTACTCGGGCACTGCCTGAGGGCCCGGGGTCAGTAGGGGGCCCCATGAGATGTCCTTGGTACCTTTTATAGGCTTTTTTGGGTGTGGTTTGAGTGTGGGCGAGGACACAGGGGCCCCATGATCCCCTATTGCCCCGGGGGCCCCATGAGTTGTCAGTCCGCCCCTGCCGGCGACAGACCTTGCTGCCCTGCTGAAAAATGATCTGCGGTGGATCGCTTTTTAGGGGCAGCGAGGAGGTGATATGTACCCTGTAAATGCCGCACTTTATACTCATAGGGCAGCAAAAATACGTAGTTGATCTGCGTTTTTACCGACCGCTCACCCTAATGGCGTCCTTACGGGTGTGACAGTTAGCACCGCTGCATGGCAGAAATATTTCCTGCTGTCGCATTCGGCAGAACCTGACCCATTGAAATGCCCGGGGGCCACACCGCAGCTGCGTGCCGTGCATGTGGCTGCGGCTTGGTGTTGCATGTTGGGAATGTGCGCAAAAAAAAACGCTTTCCCGACACGCACAGAAACACGCTTCTTCTTTTGGCAGAGGCGCGGTGGGGTCATTTTTTCAGACCCCCCCCTCCCCCCCCCCATGCATATGCTCACCTGTGCGTTTCCGCGTGCCCCGAACCGCAGGAAGCCGCGCGTTTTTTGGAAAAGGCTCCAGGACTTCTTTTCTGGATTCCTTGCGCATAGAGTAGTCCAGTGAAATGAATGGGCTGCCCTGTATGCGACATGCAGGAACACATGGTAGCGCTGGCACGCTCGGCCCCGCCTCCAGGTGTCAGCCTATCCTTGGGGCGGCTGGAGGCCCCTCTGAAAAGCTCCCCACTATGTATTGCTCTTCAGAGGGCAATGCATGTACCAACGGGTCCTTAAAGGGGTGGAGATCGGTGGCGGAACACGCCGCCAAAAGTGACACGCGGTCTAAGTCTAGGTTCACAATTATGCAGGTTGTGTTTGAGGTGTTTTTGCCGTGTTTTTAGTGCTTTTTTGATTCGTTTTGCGTTTTTTTTTCCATTTAGAATTTTTCTTGTTGCTAGGCAGATTTTAAATGCAAAACGCATCAAAAACGCATCTAAAATGCACTCCATGCTTTTCTGCCGCTTTCCCATTGAAGTCTATAGAACCAAAAACGCGGTCAAAAAAGTCCCCGGCCCTTTCCAAAAAAAAACGCAGCCGGTGAAAATGCAGAGATGTGAACGCGTCCCATAGGAAATCATGTTAAATGGACTGTACTGAAACGCAGAGGTGCGAACCGAAACGCAGAGGTGTGAACCTAGGGTGATACTTGTGGTGGCATGTGTACAGCCCTAAACGGCTGCATGCCCATTGTTGGGTGGATGGTCGGGGGGGAGACGGAAAAATCTTGGCTCAGCCACTTGTTTTTACTGCCCACCTGGTGCCCGCCAAATTTGACATGCTGTTTAATCCTTGTATGCATTCCTAAATTGCTGCATGCCCTTCCTTAGGTGGATGGTTGGGGGGTTGTTAAAACTGCAGCTCAACCTCCTGCTTATACCGCCCCTGTAAATGATCCCCCACGCCTTTGTATTTGCCAGCGTTTTGAGCATTGGAAAAATCTTGGCTCAGCCGCCTGTTTTTACTGCCCACCTGGTGCCCGCCACATTTGACATGCTGTTTATTTTTTTGTATACATTCCTAAATTGCTGCATGCCCTTCCTTAGGTGGATGGTTGGGGGGGGGGGGGGGTTAAAACTGCAGCTCAGCCACCTTCTTATACCGCCCCTGTGAATGATCCCCCACGCCTTTGTATTTGCCAGCGTTTTAGGCATGGAAAGATCGATCGCGGCGCGGGACCGCAGCGCCCGATCAAAGCGTCAGCGTAAAAGGCGGCCTGTCTGTGGGGCGATTGGCTCTTCGATGGAAATGTAAAAAAAAAACGTTTTGGAAATGAATTCGCCGGCAGAAAAAAAGTTATATTTACCTCAATGTGGCGTCGGAGAACCTGGTTGCCACGGCAACGGAAACCGTCTTGGCGGGCTTTACGCTTTGGCGCGCACGCCGTACGGTCGCTGAAAGTAAGTTGTAGACGGATACAAAATATCGCGTTTCCGGCCGAACTTTTTTTTTTTTTTTCTTTAAATCTCAGCCAAGTCCCGGCGGCGTTTTATCGCTCTGGCGCGGCGTTGGGGCGATGTTTTTCTTTTGGTCCTCGCTGACCACAGATGCCGGGATTAGATTTCATTCCATTTCTTGTACTTCTCTTCTGCTGTCTCCTTGGCTTGTGCGCTCGCCGTCTTTTCAGCAGATTCGGCGGCTGTCCGTGTGTCACCTGGAAGGTCGGTGTGTCATCTGGAGGGTCGGTGTCATCTGGAAGGTCCGCGTGTCATCTGGAAGGTCCGCGTGTCATCTGGAGGGTCGGCATGTCATCTGGAAGGTCTGCGTGTCGTCTGGAAGGTCTGCGTGTCACCTGGAAGGTCGGCACATGATTTGGAAGGTCGGCACATGATCTGGAAAGTCGGCGCATGATTTGGAAGGTCGGCGCATGATTTGGAAGGTCGGCGCATCATCTGGAAGGTCCACGCGTCATCTGGAAGGTCCACATGTCATCTGGAAGGTCGGCGCCTCATCTGAAAGGTCTGCGCCTCATCTGAAAGGTCGGCGCGTCATCTAGAAGGTCGGCGTGTCATCTGGAAGGTCGGCACGTCATCTGGAAGGTTGGCCATCATCTGGAAGGTCGGCACATCATCTGGAAGGTCCACACGTCATCTGGAAGGTCGGCGCGTCATCTGGAAGGTCGGCGCGTTATCTGGAAGGTCGGCACATCATCTGGAAGGTCCACATGTCATCTGGAAGGTCGGTGTGTCATCTGGAAGGTCGGTGTGTCATCTGGAAGGTCCACACGTCATCTGGAAGGTCGGCGCGTCATCTGAAAGGTCGGCGTGTCATCTGGAAGGTCCACACGTCATCTGGAAGGTCGGCGTGTCATCTGAAAGGTCGGCGTGTCATCTGGAAGGTCCACACGTCATCTGGAAGGTCGGCGTGTCATCTGAAAGGTCGGCATGTCATCTGGAAGGTCGGCACGTCATCTGGAAGGTTGGCCGTCATCTGGAAGGTCGGCGCGTCATCTAGAAGGTCAGCGCGTCATCTGGAAGGTCAGCGCGTCATCTGGAAGGTCAGCGCATCATCTGGAAGGTCGGCACATCATCTGGAAGGTCCACACGTCATCTGGAAGGTCCACGCGTCATCTGGAAGGTCCACGCGTCATCTGGAAGGTCCACGCGTCATCTGGAAGGTCGGTGTGTCATCTGGAAGGTCCACGCGTCATCTGGAAGGTCCACGCGTCATCTGGAAGGTCCACGCGTCATCTGGAAGGTCGGCGCATCATCTGAAAGGTCGGTGCGTCATCTGGAAGGTCGGCGCGTCACCTGAAAGGTCGGTGTGTCATCTGGAAGGTCCGCGTGTCATGTGGAAGGTCCGCGCGTCATGTGGAAGGTCCGCGCGTCATGTGGAAGGTCCGCGCGTCATCTGGAAGGTCGGTGCGTCATCTGGAAGGTCGGCGCGTCACCTGGAAGGTCGGCGCGTCATCTGGAAGGTCCACATGTCATCTGAAAGGTCGGCATGTCATCTGGAAGGTCGGCGCGTCATCTGGAAGGTCGGCGCGTCATCTGGAAGGTCCACGCGGGGACTGAAGGTCGGAACGGTTGGGATTTTGGCCAAATGGGTTAAAAGGGAGGCCAAAATCACCTGCGTGCAAACCCAGCGATGGAAGCTGACGTTCCTTAAGGCTCGGTTCACACCTATGCAGTTTGTGTTTGATCCGTTTCTGCAGTGCGTTTTCCTTGTGTTTTTGGTGCGTTTCTGAGGTTTTTTTTCTTGTTTTTAGGCAGATTAAAAATGCAACACAAAAACGCATCAATACTTTGGGGGTATTCCCCCCTTAGGGCCACAATCCCACTGACACCAATGATTTGGAGGTGTCCTCTCCTGGGTACCACAGTCCAACTGACAACAACAATTTGGGGGTATTGTGCCTTGGGGGCCATGATCCCGCTGACACTTTGGGGGTCTTCTCCCCAGAAGACCACTACCACCAATGATTTGGGTATATTCTCCCCTGGAGGGGCCACAATCCCACTTAGGCCAACAATTTGGGGGTATTTTTCCCCATGGGGGGGTGGAGTAGGGGCACAATCCCACTGATGACAATTATTTGGGGGTATTCTCCCCATGGGGGGGGGGGGGGGGGGGGGGGGGGGGGGTAGGGGCACAATCCCACTGATGACAATTATTTGGGGGTATTCTCTCCATGGGGGGGGGGGGGGGGGGGGGTAGGGGCACAATCCCACTGATGCCAATTATTTGGGGGTATTCTCTCCATGGGGGGGGGGGGGGTAGGGGGGGGCACAATCCCACTGATGACAATTATTTGGGGGTATTCTCTCCATGGGGGGGGGGGGGTAGGGGCACAATCCCACTGATGACAATTATTTGCGGGTATTCTCTCCATGGGGGGGGGGGGGGGGGGGGGTAGGGGCACAATCCCACTGATGCCAATTATTTGGGGATATTCTCCCGATGGGGGGGGGGGGGGGGGGGGGGTAGGGGCACAATCCACTGATGACAATTATTTGGGGATATTCTCTCCATGGGGGGGGGGTGTAGGGGCACAATCCCACTGATGACAATTATTTGGGGATATTTCTCCCGATGGGGGGGGGGGGGGGGGGGGGTAGGGGCACAATCCCACTGATGACAATATTTGGGGGGGGTATTCTCCCGATGGGGGGGGGGGGGGGGGGGGGGTAGGGGCACAATCCCACTGATGACAATTATTTGGGGGTATTCTCTCCATGGGGGGGGGGGGGGGGGGTAGGGGCACAATCCCACTGATGCCAATTATTTGGGGGGTATTCTGTCCATGGGGGGGGGGGGGTAGGGGCAACAATCCCACTGATGACAATTATTTGGGGGTATTCTCTCCATGGGGGGGGGGGGTAGGGGCACAATCCCACTGATGACAATTATTTGGGGGTATTCTCTCCTGGGGGGGGGGGGGGGGGGGGGTAGGGGCACAATCCCACTGATGACAATTATTTGGGGATATTTCTCCCGATGGGGGGGGGGGGGGGGGGGGGGGTAGGGGCACAATCCCACTGATGACAATTATTTGGGGATATTCTCTCCATGGGGGGGCAGGGTAGGGGCACAATCCCACTGATGACAATTACTTTTGGGGATCTTATACCGATTATTCCCGATGGGGGGGGGGGGGGGGGTAGGGGCACAATCCCACTGATGACAATTATTTTGGGGGTATTCTCCCGATGGGGGGGGGGTAGAGGCACAATCCCAACTGATGACAATTATTTGGGGGGTATTCTGTCCATGGGGGGGGGGGGGGGGTAGGGGGCACAATCCCACTGATGACAATTATTTGGGGGTATTCTCTCCATGGGGGGGGGGGGGTAGGGGCACAATCCCACTGATGACAATTATTTGGGGGATATTCTCCCGATGGGGGGGGGGGGGGGGTAGGGGCACAATCCCACTGATGACAATTATTTGGGGGGTATTCTCTCCATGGGGGGGGGGGGGGGGTAGGGGCACAAACCCACTGATGCCAATTATTTGGGGGTATTCTGTCCATGGGGGGGGGGGTAGGGGCACAATCCCACTGATGACAATTATTTGGGGGTATTCTGTCCTGGGGGGGGGGGGGCGGGGGGGGGGGGGGGGGGGGGGGGTAGGGGCACAATCCCACTGATGACAATTATTTGGGGGGTATTCTCCCCATGGGGGGGGGGGGGGGGTAGGGGCACAATCCCACTGATGACAATTATTTGGGGGGTATTCTGTCCATGGGGGGGGGGGCATGATCCCACTGATGACAATT